AATCTACTGTAAAAAAGATGTCTGAAATATTTGCTGCTTCACTATTTTGAAATATTGAAGCACCATTGTTTAAACACTTGCATTTTCGGAATCGTTAATCTAACAAAATATACGGCGAGGATAACGTCCAGTTCACGTAACTTTGAAGCGTAAACATGGTTAGTAATGATCACAGAAACTCGAATGAAAAATATGTTGTGGAAAACGTGCAAAAAAATGAACTTTTTGATGCTTAAAATGTGTTTTCGGGACCATTTAGCGTTTACACGGCAATAAACCAATATTCCGAGGTGTTTAAACGTCTGCGAATATTCAACAGAAAAAATCTAAACGTTTTCACCGGTGGAATTCCAGAATTCTGGGTGTTTACACGTCCATCTTTTTTCTGATGCGTGTAAACGCTGCGAAAAGTCAATTTTACGGTGTGTACACGCGTTTTCTCAAAAGTTTGTCTGCCTGGGCAGCTAAATAAAATTAATGACAAGAGGATGATTGTTCTGGGAAATTCTAGAATATTCTATAGCCTTTATCGAAATTTGAATGGCTGGAATATGCTCGTTAGGGTTTTACGTAGTATAGTTTTTGATTTTTGCACAGATAAGAAATTATATTCAAGATATTAATGATACAGAGTAAAGATGCATTGATTTGCCACAGTTGTCATATAATTCACATGAAAAGTGTGAATATATCGCTGTAGACTTGATGGATATGCATAAAAGACTTATTTTCCATTAAATTCCATACTTCGAATAATAACAATAGTGTTAAATTAAGAATCACAAAATAAGAAAAAGAAAATAACTAGCGAATAGTAGCAATGCAAAAAAAACTAGTGCACAAAAAGCAAAAAAAAAATTCTGCTATTAATACAGAAATAGATAAGACAAACCTTCACTTAGCTGATCAATTCTCTTTGCAAAGAACTATAGACAATGCGAGATTTTTCAGTTTACCTCTTTTGTATTAGTTTATTGAGATTAAAGAACGGATATGAATTTTAGATTTCAGCGTCGAGGAGCTACACTAGCAAGCCTTTTCATACAGCTTTAACTGTGGTTAAAGCCATTTCCAGGGCTGTGTCATCGATTATGCAGTGGAAATGAAAATTTGATGTATTCAGACCCAAAAGAATAAAAAGAAAGCTGCCGAAATTTGAATAAATATTCTTTTTGTTTAAGGATGATTTGAGCCAGAAAGTAGTTGGTATTCGTGCGACGCGCCTCTATCTAATTCTATTAGTAGTCGGTATCACCACACTAATGATATATTCATCATCAACAATCAATACACGTTCAGTGACAATATCAAATCCATCTTTGGAAATTTTCGAAGGACTTCACCGCGTTCATTCGCAAACACTTGTATGTCCATGTTCACAACTGACAATAGGTTATAGCAAAATAATCTCTATTTCACCTCCGCAATATCATCCGGTAAGAAACGCCATATTGGTTTTTGAATTCATCAAACATTTATTAAAAACTCAAGCAACATTCAATAGGATATTTAATTCGAGTATTAGGAAGAATCATTTCAATCTTTTTGTCTAAACTCGATCAAAGATTTGCTGAAACAAATTTTGCCACCGATTAATCTGATTAAATTTATGATCTAGTTTCTCATACTAGATTGTTTTTAAATTTTAGATTTCATACATTAAACACCAAGTCCCTACATGAAGCATGTCTTCGCATGGACGTTATTGATACATTTTTAAAAGTTTCCAAATGTACTACAGGCTTATCATATCTATCAGCATTCAATTTGGATTGGATCAGATCGATTCATAGAATTAACCCATGTTGGACATGGATATCTGTTTAGTTATAGTTGTGAGTGAAGAGTAAAGCGTTTGTGACAACTGAATGAAACACTTAACAGAATCATATTACGGCTTCTTTTGTACAAGTCGTATTTTTCTTACATCATTCTCTTTGCCATCGTGACAATGAACTGAAATATAAGACACGATCGATATTGTTTACAGAGATCGAATCAGGCCGAGTTTTGCTGGTATGAGTTCGGTTCGCCTTGTGTTTGTTGTCTAACAATCAGTTCGGATTCAATTTGGTTTTAGTCTTTAATAGAAAACAATCGATTCAACGTCGTTTGACCATTGTCCAGAGTATCACACACTTGTAAAAAAAAAGGTTTATATCTGTACCAAACTTTTTTTTCTTGTACATTTCTGTAAATCCACTTGTTTTTCGAAAAGTGGTTTGAGTTCGGCTCAGTTCGAAATCATTTTAAAGCGTGGTTCGAGTTCGATTCGATTTGTTTTTTTCGAGAGAAAGTTCGGCTCCGTAAGTTTTTGGTTTCTGAATCCTTATGCTTAAAACAGGTCCATCGTGTCAAGCTCTATTCCCATAAAGGTAGCGGTGCAGTCATCTAGATCATAATTGATGAAAATCATCATAACACGGACATCACCTCGTTTCTACTACTGATAATGATGCACCGAGACAATTGAAACTTCTTTCCCGTCGGACCTGGAAAGAAAGTTCACATTCTATTACGATTTATCGTATGCTGGAAATTTGGGTTTTTATCTCTTTTGGTTTAGAAGGTTTCAATTTTCGAAAATCGAACTTATGGATTGTTTTTTTTTGAATTCGTGCGCATTTTTCAAAATCGAAGAACCGATTTTTCTCGTGTAATGCAGTGTGTATACCCCTGTTACAGGCCGTTGTAGGCACTTAGAGTGTATTTCACAGTTAAATTCTAAAGGAATTCCGCCGAAATATTTCTGTTGCTGAAGAACCAGCAGCACAAGTCTGCTTTGATCATTATTAAAATACATTTACTAACATGAAATTTCCTCATCTTGCCGTCTAGGGACAAATGAAACGTAACCTGATGAACTTTGCAAGATGCTTTTTAGAAAATAAAGAAACTAAACTTTTTCATTCATGATAAAGAAATCAACACTAGCAGTTCGAGCCATTCTATCCTGATTCACATCCATATAGAAATGCATAATCTTTATTCTTGATTCACAGATTTGCACAAGTGACTTTTTGGGTCCAATTTGGCTCAACGGATTCTTCACGATCCAATTCACCAACGAGTCAGATAGGCGCAATGTTTCAGAGAGAGACTTTCGCGTTGGTGGGCTCAACTTTTTCTACAACATTGCGTTTCTCTGCATTTTCGCTCAAAATTCGATCGACGCTATTCAAAAGATTTTCTTCTCGATAGATTTTGTCAGTACCAAGGCACTTGCTCGTAAGTGTAATAGTTTTTTTTACACATGTCTTCATTCTTTTTCCAGACATTTTTCTCTTTCGATATGTGTCTCGAATACCGATCTCAAGTATTTTCAGTAGTTTCAAGTCAATACCAGTCGACATTTACTAAATGAGTTTCTACATATTTCACTTGCATGGTACTACGTCGACTTGAATCTAACCAATTCGATATTATATGATACGAATAATGGTAAACATTCGATAGTCAGTATTAAGATCATCATTACTCCAGGAGAATACGATGACGAGTTACTCTGTTGACAAACCATTAGCACTCTTGAATGCTGTGCTATTTTTTCGAAGCCCTACAGCACTTTTAGAGACATATTAGTCTTATAGAAAGAATTTCGAAGTTTCCTTTGCAAAAGAAGTATTTTGACGAGCACCACAAGGAGTTCAGAAATATGCTCTAACGAAATTTGTCTTCCATGGCACGTATGTTGCATGGTATTGTACATACATAATAGTGAGTGACTTCTGTTATAAGTATTAATATTCAAAACTTTTTATACAATTCAAACGATTGCTTTAGCGATTTTGCTGACTCAAAGGAAATTTTTCAATGTATTGGTTTTTTTACAATCGATGCTTTACATTCTTTTCATTGAAAGAAAAAACTTGAAAGTCCTAGCAGGGTTCATTCGAAGATGGTTTCACTCATTAGAGTTAGAGAGAGAATCAGAAAAAAGGGACCGATGACGACATAAAGGAAATGAGAGAGTCTATGGCATCAGCCTCTAATTATAGTTACAAAGTTCTGTGATAGAATCTAACAGCTATTTCAAACGAAGTACACTTATATATGGCTGTGTAAAAGTTCTTATGTTCTGCTGGTTTCTTATGCTAATGATCAATCTTTGAAAAAGAGCTCCATTTTTCAGATAAAATCAATACGACTTATGTTCGAATGCAAAACAAGAGAGAAGAAAAATTTTCATTAGAACACTCAGGGTGTATTCTGTTGTTTCTATGTAAAATTGTTCTGCCTGATAATTCATTTGGGATATTTCTCTCTACTTTCATGGTAGATAATAGCAAGTAGTAAGGTCATGCAAACATGCTAGATATACCAAGTCTCTGTTATTTTTTAATTCTAAAGCCTATTTTATTCTTTGTTGTTAAGGAAACGAATTTCAAGCACATGTCGATTCTGTACTTACTGAAAACCTGGTAAATATAAGGCAAGAAATTTCGATTTATATGCCGTTGGTGCAAGAACTATTCGCAGTGACTGGGTTCGAGAGTGGTATGCATTTTCAATCATTCGAAGTGAATGGCAAGCCTTCTTTGCGCCGATATTCTCCTGCCCCTCCTGCCTTTAACGAATGTGCCTGTAGCGTTGCATTCGACTGTCCAGATCCTTCATGGTCTGGAGGTAAATTTTTATGTCAGTATGTTGACAACTGTACAATTGGCACAGTGGTCTGGAGCGTACCCGGTCTAGTCAAGTCATGCGCCAGCTTCCAATCCGTCTTGAGTTCTGATTTACGCTGTTTCTTCAATCAGACGTGCTTGAACACTATTCTCTCCATGTTCAATGTTGATATGCTCAAGCGAGTCCCACTACCTACAGCTACCATTAATATTAAAGCTTTAAATAGTTCAGCTTTGTCACTATTCTCAGCGGAAGACATAATTGAGACTATTTTGAATCAGCTAATGATTGATGAACAGAAATTGAGCGCAAACTTCAATGTCTACTATAAAACATGTGCTCATGCTACTTGTACATACACGATTATACAGCGAATGGATCGGGTTTATATCGTTACCACCATCGGTGGACTGTTTGGTGGTCTTCCTACTATTCTTCGTCTTCTGGTTCCGATTGTTGCAAAACTTTTCCATTCGATTATCTTTCGTCAACGTCGGCGTCGATCAAATATCCATGATCGAGAGCTTGACCGTCATAAAGGTAAACAACCGTCTCATAGTGAGCAGGAAAAATGTTTAGTAAGTGTCCGAAAGAGAAAATTGTCGCACATCTTCAAATCATTTCTTTGAGATTTTTTTACTACAAGGAATTTTTTTATCTGACGGACAGAAGATTATGCCTATTATGGTGTGAGAAATGGTCGATACTGCTGCCTTGTATTTTGGAACAAAAAGCATTTCATGGAATGCCGAGAAAAACAAAATTTGAATTGGGATGGAATCGTTTTTATAAGGATTTCGAACAGATTTGAAATCTCAAAATCCTTCGACAATTACAAAGTTTGAGGTGAATAAGGTCAAAAGAATATGTTGGCATGTGTTTTATGATTGTCGAGGACACTAAAAAGTGAAGATTCATTTTTTCATGGTAGACTTCAGTACTTCTTCTATAAAACCTAACAGAGAAGGAATATATGAATAAATTTGCTACCCAACCATTCAAAACTTCTCTTTTCATGATGCAGGCTTGATAGATTCGAATTCGAAATCATAACAATGCAATGCATACACTTTATTTTTGATGAAAACATTTTCATAATAGAATGATTGCTTTTTTTTTATGATTTCATAGATATCTTAGATTGGCTCAACAGCTTAAGAACTCAAGACGGATTGGAAGCTGGCGCATGACTTGACTAGACCGGGTACGCTCCAGACCACTGTGCGAATTGTACAGTTGTCAACATACTGACA